TAAATTGAATGCTGTAATACCTCGTCAAGCATTGAAATTAGCCTTGATTTCTTTCCTGTATTCTCAGAATTATCCATAATTGCAGTAGTACTTAAGTTCTGCAATGGAGACTCCATGATAGAAGAGTCGGGAGTGATTTTCTCGACGTAAATTCCCTTACCCACATCGCAAAGCTCTTCTAATAACAGTTGTGTCGGCCTCAGAAACTTCGATCCCTTCAGAATTGAAGCGTATCCCGTGAAAGGACCGAAAGGGACCGAGGTCCGGGAAACCTCATTCGAAGTGGAAGCGACATATTCGGTGGGAGTAACTTCGTACCTTTGTGGATTTAGCCCCATAGGCAGATTGTTTTGGTGGGTATCATGAGAAGATTAAATTCATGCGGTGGGGACTTTCGTCAAGCGGTGGCTGACTGAGATGGTGAAGAAGAAGGATAAAAGAAGCAGAAGCAGAAGCAGAATGGGGTGACCAAAATACGAGCGTTCTAAAAGTTTGGAGATTATTTGTTTATTTTACCCTAAATAAATGTTAGGTTACATTTTTAATGGGTTAATGACTAAATTTAATGGTCCAACTTAATGGTCTTCCATAGTTTTACCCAATTTAAATTACTTAATAAAACGTTAGACACCAATCTGAAACGAAATAAATGTTAGAAACGAAATAAATGTTACACTAAACTAGAAAAACTTGCTTTGGTCACTTTTTTGCATATTTAAACCTAATTTTAAATATTTCAAACAACTAAATTTTGTACAATGTTATTTAAAAATTACTTGATTTAAAATTTTAATACATATTTTCCATATTTTTATCAATAATATATTTTAAATAATAATGAATCAAAGATAAATTTTTTATAAAAATAACATAAACAGATTTAATAGGACAGAGTAAATATGTGCCTATAAGCCATTTACCATTATTCAAAACGTAAAGTCAATTATTCATATTATCTTAAAATATTAAAAAAATCATACACCAATTAAAACACAATATGTGATATTTTTAATAAAAAAATATAAATCAATATGATATGTATTATTTTCAATTAAGTAAAAATTTAAATTTAAGAGATCAATTATTTGGTGGAATGATCAAGTATTCTTATCTTATTTTATTTTATACGAGTTGAAATTTTCATATTTACCTTGAAAATATAATACCTTCTTATTTACCAAAAAAAGTTAAATTTAATATTAAATAAAATTAAGTACTTGATTAAAGGGAAATAGTTTAAAGGACAAGTAGTTAAGCAAGCCAAATAAAAGTTTTAAACAACTATCCAAACTTACTATAATTCAAACAGAATCTATGTAAACTTTTGACTTGATAGTCTCCGTTATCTACATACCATATGGTGGTTAGGTGAAGAGAGAAATAGTAGATAATAGGGTGCATTTAGCTGCTATTGTCTTTGCGTTTATGATACCTTTTTTTAACACACTATTATCTATTTTTTGGATACGTTATCGGTTTTTATAGATAGTTTGGTTGATTTTTTGTTTATTTTTTTAAGGTTAGATTTGATATCACATTGACTGATTAAGATGACACTTATCTGATATCATGTTAATCTTTCTTGTTTTAGATCATCGAATTAGATTTTGATAAGTTATTTGTATTTGTAGATAGATTCCTCACGATGCTTTGACTCTAGTTTACGGTTGTCGGTGGTCTTCGGTAGTTTGATCTCTTGTTGTGGTTCACTTTACTGATGCAGTAAGGTTTGTTTGTATCTATTTTTTGTTCGAGTTTTTTTGTGGGTTTTTAATTTTTTCCCTTATTTACTTTCATAGATAGTTTACTCACGAAGCTTTAATTCTAATTTGCGGTTGTCGATGGTCTTCAGTAGTTTGATCCATTCTTGTTGTTTATTTTACCAATGCAATCAGATTCATTTGTATATATCTTTTGTTCGAGTTTTTGGTGGATTTTTAATCTTTTCCTTATTTGATCCTTTTATGATCCCAAATGATATTTTTTTGTGTTAATACTTATAAAAATATCTTAATTATATGGCTAATTTATGTTTATAGTTGTAAATATTCATTGTAATTATGAATATTTTCTCTTTTGAATAAAATTAGTTATCATAATCCTACGTAAAGGAGAGGGAAGACTCTAAAGAAGGAAAAACAGTACTCTTAGTAAGTCTAAAACTCATAACATAAAAGAATATGAGAAAATAAAGACGAATAATTTAACCATCCGAACAAATTTATTTGCTTATAGTTTGTGATTAGTTGATATTTGGTTAAATGGGATTTAGGGATGTGGATGGTCTGGTTAGAGGTTAGTCGCAAAATATAATTGCAAAAATTGTTGGCGCTTGAGATTAGTGTTTTGGAAATCGGATCGAACCGACCAGTTCAACCGGGAATCGCTGTCTAGTCCGGTTCAATCTACACCGGTTGAACTGCTACTAGTGAACCGGCCGGAACCACTAAACCGTTCGAACCGGACCGGCTAAAAATCGGAAAAAACTGCCAATTTTGTTTTTTTTTTTAAAAATTAAACCAAACGACATCATTTGTTAAATGAGCAAAGTCAAACTCGAGTATTGCTGAGCTCGACTTGAACTTGAAAACTTTAAAAGTAAGCTCAACTCGACTCAAACTCACGAGCTAGAAATTATCAAAGTTCAACTCGAACTCGAAATATAATATTAAAACTTGAACTCGAAAAGGCTTGAACTCAAAAAAAATTTAGAAGCTCGATTGAAGCCTAAAATTCGAGCTTGATTGAAGTGAAATAATAGTTCACTCAATGCTCACCAAAAGGCTCCATAATTTTGAATGCCAAATTACCTCTATTATTTATAGAAGTTAGTTGAAATGCTCTTCTATGTTTCTTAGCCATGTGGGATTGTTTTGTTATCATATTTTTACTCTTTAGACTTTTCAGATGCTCTTCTATGTTTCTTAGCCATGTGATTGCTTTTTTTTAAAAATTAAACCAAACAATATCATTTTATTATGATATTTTTAACCCAAATTTATTTTTTAATTATAGTTATATAATTATATTTATTATTTAATATGTTTTACATTAAATATTATGTTGTAGTTAATTTGAATCATTTTTGTTTCACTTAGTTTTATGGTTTTAACTTATATATGTTATGACTTGCTTTGAATATGATTTGTGATATAAAAAAATATTTTTTATTAAATATTTTTGGTATTTTTATTTAATTTTTTAAATAATTATGACGTCGTCCGGTTCTTCCGACTGATCAGACTAATTCGACCGGTTGAACCAGTGAACCGGTAGCATAGTCGGTTCGTTAACTGGTCCGGTTCTGAAAACCATGCTTGAGATAAATATAAATAGCACAACGCAAAACGTATATTATAAGAGAAAATAACCTCAGTGACCAAAAATGCCTTATAATATACGATTTTAACCAACTTTTTTTGGATTTGCCAAAATGACCAACTAAATCGCAATACGATCGATAATTCGCAAAGCGATCTCCGGTATCGCAAATTAGTTTCTAGATTCGCAACGCGAACTTCGACTATCGCATTGCGATTTACATATTCGCATTGCGATAGTCCAAGTTCGCGTTGTGATTTATTCCAAGTTCGTTGCGATAGTCAAAGTTCGCGTTGCGATTTATTCCAAATTCGTTGCGATTTATTCCAAGTTCGCGTTGCGATTTATTCCAAATTCGCGTTGCGATTTATTTCAAGTTCGTTGCGATAGTCCAAAATCGCAACGACGGTATTGCATTTGTTTCTTAAGAATTTTCTCTAAAAAGATAGTATTCGCGCGGACGTGTCGAAGACACGTATTACCACGACCACAACCACGGCCACGAGACGGACGACGGCGGCGGCGACGCGCGAGAGTCCCCCTTGTTCTCTATCACTCAACAAGGAAGTGGGAAAGCCAAGCCTTAAATACCATTCCCAATAGTGTTTCCAATATTTTGTGCGATTGAGCATTACCAACACTTGTTCCTAATACTATGTGGGATTGAGCCTTAAATAGTGATATTATTTTTGAATGTTTTGCTTAAAATTGCAATAATCGCGATTGATTGTAGATTGACATTTAATTATGACATATTTAATCGTATAATACTAATGCAATTGGTTGCTGATTCAGTTGTTTTAAGGTTCATGATTGTTAATTGTTTCCTGAATAATCACATTGTATTGGAAACAAGTGTTGGTAATGCTCAATCCCACATAGTATTGGAAACACTATTGGGAATGGTATTTAAGGCTTGGCTTTCCCACTTCCTTGTTGAGTGATAGAGAACAAGGGGGACTCTCGCGCGCCGTCGCTGCCGTCCGTCTCGTCTCGTCTCGTCTCGTCTCGGGTCGGGTGTGGTCGTGGTCGTGGTCGTGGTAATACGTGTCTTCGACACGTCCGCGCGAATACTATCTTTTTAGAGAAAATTCTTAAGAAACAAATGCAATACCACCAGTCGTTGCGATTTTGGTTCGCATTGCGATAGTCGACTATCGCATTGTGATTTACATATTCGCATTGCGATAGCCGACTATCGCATTGCGATTTACATATTCGCATTGTGATAGTCCAAGTTCGCATTGCGATAGTCGAAGTTCGCATTGCGAATATGGAAACTGATTTGCGATACCGGAGATCGCGTTGCGAATTATCGATCGCATTGCGATTTAGTTGGTCATTTTGGCAAATCCAAAAAAAGTTGGTTAAAATCGTATATTATAAGGCATTTTTGGTCATGAGGTTATTTTCTCATATTATAATACTCTTTACTTTCTCAGACAAGTACAATATCCTTCCATTTTTCTTAAACAAGGCTATAACAGATTTAGAGAACTGGAGCACACAAATGCAAGAATGCAGGACAAATTGATTATTTGAGTTCATGCATAACGTAGAGGCCAATATGATGGTGGCTATATATTACCCTTTTTGGCACAAAAAGGTCTCTCCTTTTACTCCATTTAATGTGCAGGGTTTGGCTAGGGAGGAGAGGTAGTTTTAGTTCTCCCTCCCATTTATTTTCTTGTGCCACCATGGTTGTCGCCGCCACCACTACCTCCTCTCCGACCTGAACCTCCACCTTGACCACTTCTTCCCCCACCACTCCCGCCTGTACCCCATCCGTGTCCTTTATGGTTTCCACCACCACCACCTCCTCCTTTTCCTTTGTTGCGTGGCTTACCGTTTCTTCCACCATAGTCACCTCCACCTCCATCCCCTCCCCCACCACCACAACTACAACCACCTCTTTGTTTTCTTTTCCTCTGTGGTTTACCTTTTCCTCTACCATTGCCACTGCCACCTCCACCCCCTCCACCACAATTACCGCCACCACCTCCTCCTCCACCTCCACCACCCTTTCCACCTCCTTTCCCAGCATGATGGTCAATATTACTATTGCTTTGGACTAAAATTTCTGCCGAAGAATTCGTGCCCTTGTGTTCTACATCCTCAATAAAACTGTTTCTCACTAGAAATCATAGTGGTGGAATTAGAATTGGACCAACCTACAACCCCATTTCCTCTCTCAAACTCATCCTCTCCGTCAGCACCACTCCGGCAGCTGATCAACAACACCGTCACTACAAACACAACTCTAACTTCTCTTCTTATTACCATTTTCTCAACTTGAGAATGCAGGATTCATTCCCACATCCTTCCCTTTTTATACTCTTTCTTTGCACTCAGAAATGAAAAGAAAATATCCCTCTTCCCCACCCTCCACTTTTAAGTGGTTACTTCACACTGAACACTCCACTCTGTTCCCTAAAACTACGTCAAAAAAGTTTAACTACTATTTCATATAAAGAAATTTGAATTTACTTATACTACGTTTAGGATTCAAGTGATAACGTTGTGGATGAAGTAAGTTAGAATTGGAGGATTACTCACAAATCAATTATTGTGGTACTTGATCTAATCCAATTAATCAATTAATAAAACAGATACCATAATTAAAGAAAAATCTTCATATTTTTTTCACGAGCAACTAGGAAATTCAAGGACAGCCACCCTAAACCTTTTGAAACACCATTTCGTTGCTTTAGGAGATTTGACAAAGTGGGTCATGTCTTTTAAAAACTTGGGATCATCCAAGTACATTAGTTTAAAATAATCTTGGGAGAACCAAAAGAATAATGGAATTTCTGGTAATAATATGATTTCAATACTGAAACTATTAGCTAGTTTATCAGTGCCAACGACGTGACCAAAACAAACTCACAAAAAAAATGTTTCAAGTTTCATAGGACAAATGTCAAAGCAGCGCAAAATTCATTTTGACATCAAGAGTTTAGATATCTTTAAAATGGGGAGTTATAAATGAGCATCATTCCGCGCAAGATCTCATGTTAGGAGAATAATTTCTAAAATTTTAGAAGGGGCAAATTTATAAAATTATAAGAGGAAAATATATTATCAATTAAAAATAAAATGAAAAATATTCAAAATATATATTAATTTAAAATTTTCAAGATGAGGAATGCTTCTATCGGCTCCCTTTTGGTCCATCTCTTATTAGAATGTCTAATTGAGCAATCCGTTAAGCATGGCATGTGAGGAGGATAATATTCCTTTTGCTTGACGAATGGAACTGCTCAAGGGAATAATGCTTCATATCATTATCTGTCCATGTGAAATTCCCATTTCTTCAAACTTCGTATTCTTTTATTCTTTATTATTCATCCTTTCCCAGTTGAGTCATGAGTGAATGCTAAACTTTTGGAAAATCCAGTCGGTTTTGTTTGGCAAATTGGCCGAGCCTAATATGGCAAGTAAAAATTTATTTTGAGATATATGGAATTGTCTACAGTGACATGAAACTCGTCACATCATTGTGACGAATTTTAATAAAAAATATTTTTTTATTATAACTTTTTATCTAGATGTGATAGATTTTAATAAAAAAATTATATTTTGTTAGAACTCATCACCTTGAGGTGACGAGTTTGAATAAAAAAATATTTTTATTGGAACTCATCATTTCGACCTGACGAGTTCCAATAATATTGTAGAAAATACCGTAGATCCCAAAATATAAACCAAGATGCCCTAATGAACTAAATAAAAAACAGGTTAACCTTATTGGGCCAAAAAGCCACTTTGTTTCGGTATCATGGGCTTCTTTGACCGATTTATATAAAGGTTTCGATTTTCTGTTAAGAGGATGAAGCCCAAAATAGGATTTAATATTTGAAGCCCAAGATTTAGGTTATGACCTGATCAGAATTTTGTTGGATGCCAACAAACGGACCGGATAAACCTAAAAATCGAACATATAATAATAAATATTGAGAAATAAATATATTTTAAGAGAAAACAAAAATAAAATTATTTATTTGTAAATTATATTTTGCTTAACAAATTATCTAATAAATATGTAAAAATTTAAATGAAACAACTTAAAAAGATAATTAAACATCAAATTACTTACACAGAATAATTTCTACGAATATTTTTAAATATAAAATAACTAATAATAGTGTGTACATCAATAAGGTTAATATATTTTTTTAATACATGAAATGATTAGATCATTCAATAGCTATTTTGACATTGATGATCTAATAAATTTAAGGGTAAAATCTATAAGTAGTCTTAAAATTTGACACATCATAGGGTCTTAAAATTTGAGACCTCACTCTTTGAAAAAAAAATATTAATCAATTTTTTTAGAGTAAGTTGTGAAGAAAACTTAGTGAAGAAATCAACCATTCTATTTTTGTTCCATTAATTTTCTTTCCTAGTAAATTCTATTCCTCTAGATCAACCAAGAAAACTCTTGTTATCTCTTCTTTATCAATTCTCATGGTAAAATTCAACAACAACAAAATTCTAATTTTCTCTTATTATCTAAAAAATTCAATTACAATCAATTATATTTTAAAAAATATCTAAATTTATAGTGTTTAACGAACAAAATATTATTTATATACATCCTAGTTTCAATCTTCTTTAGTTACTTTAAATTTAACTACTAATTAGTGATATTCATTATTTAAAAGCAACATCTTTGTTTATAATTTTGTCTTATTATAAAATATTTTAGGTGACTCGTTTTAGAAAGTAACAGAAGACATGCACATCTTTTGGGACGAACCTATTGATATATGTCATCAGATTAGTGGTAGGTCCCTTACAGACACAATGCATAAATTCAAGACCTTTATAAATAAGAAACATTCGTTAACTACTAAGGGAGATTGATTCGTACAATCGTGTTTATATTTAAATACTCTTGTATGAATAATACATTATATTATTTTTAATTCTTAAATAACCACGTTTGTTATTCATCTATTTAACGCAATAATCACGTTTTTAGCATTCAATCTCATTATTTTACTGAATTTGTATTTTATTTCCTTGATCTTTACTTATTTAACTCAGATTTTGTCTTAATTTTGATATTCATTCAAATGATAACGTTTGATTTATTTACCATATATACTTAAATAATTGTACTAATTACCTATATTATATATATCCATTTATTATTAAATGTATTATTTATGATATATGGAATCGTTGACATATGGTTCCATTCTTTGAATATAGAGCTTTATTATATTCCTATTTTACAATTTGAGATTACTAGCCCTATATTAATTTATATATATTTCGGTTTTGTGTATTTTTATTATAATTAATTATAATATTAAATGTTATATATATATATATATGTCTTTTTGTATCTTATGTATATATTCTATATTTGTATATGTTACGTGTAATGCATGGATCAATCTAACATTTAACATTATGTTATAATGTATGCACATGTTTTTCGTACATATTGCATATTTTATATAATATATTCTATACGTATATGGTGTACCATGTAAATATTATTTTTCATATTGAGTTCTAACTTGTAAATAGTATGTATATTTTACAATCATATATTAAATATCATTAAACTTGTGGTTTCTCTCTTTTTATTCCGTCTATCTTTTAATTCGTCAAAATTAATTAGGATTATTAATTATAACCTTGATTTTAGTTTAGTTTTACTTTAGTCTTTGAACTTTAGAATTAATAGAATTTTCAATTTGGTCCTCGCAAAATTGGTCCTCGCATTAATGCCTGAGGGTTCAAATTGATTATTCAATTGACATAAAAAATAAAGTTATAAATTAGAGCCTTAACTTTAGATTATTCACAATTTAGTCCTTTAGATCTTTAATTAGATAGTCTTTTAACATAATTGATAAGGTTAATAAATAAAACCTCCACCTTAGGTTTAATTTCATCTTAGTCCCTTAATTTAGGGAATAATTTGATTTGGCTTTTGCATTTAGATGCCCGATTGTTCAAATTGATTATTCAATTCAATAATTGGTTAAAATCAATTAGGGTTAACATTAGAGACTTCATTTTTAGGTTTAGTCCTCTAGGTTATTTAATTTCCATAATTTGACACTTTAGGTTAAGGGAGCTTTAAAAAACTAACCTAGTATAATTAGGTTTTAACCAGTTGATTGATTGCATTTGATTTTAAATGTAAGACAATGTTCACTTATTATGGAGTCAATAGTATATCTCATACAATCATGCTCAGGGGTGACTACTGGTGATTCCCGAAGTAGGTCAACATCATTTTCAAAACTGTATCATGATTATTTTTAAAAATCTCGAGGCAATGTCCGATTATTTGGCACAATAATTGATCTTCTGTATTCATGCTAGGAGGCGAATATTATTGGCCTTAATAAACGAATATGACTTCAAAATTTGCATCCATAATGATTTCCAAATTAAGTAAAATTTCAAACTCAAAATTTCCAAATACTTAAATATAGAGTAATCGACTAGGTACCAATTTCTGGGCGCTGTGGGGGTGCTAACCCTTTCTCACGTGTAACCGACTCCCAAACCTAATTTTTGGTTTTCTTAAACCCTAAACTTGGTATTTTGATAAAATAAAATGCTATATTAAATTACCCAATTTTTATGGTGTTTAATTCGCACCTTAAAAAATGATTGGTGGTGACTCCCAACATTTCATAAAATTATTTCAAAAACCACATCGTTGCAACTAGTCGACCTTTCCCCCGAAGGGCCGGTTACGACAACTTGGTGACTATGTTGGGGATGTTTTGTTTTATAAAGCAAATTTAGAGTCGAGCCACAAGTTGATTACCTTATATTTAGTATTTGGAAATTTTGATTTCGAAATTATTTAAATTTACATTTCATTATGTTCATTTTAATGTTTGTTGGACTAAATTGAATTTATTCAAAGTCTTCAAAAATAATTCAATGTCCAAATAAAAGTTAAAAATGTGTTTTTAAATGTTTTTCAAACATAGTAGAAGCTTTTCAAAATATACTCGAACGTTTTCACGCTTTAAATTCATGTTTCCAAGCTTCTATGGCTCAAAGGATCGATCCCTTTGACCAAAGGATCAATCCCTTAGACAATAGTGAGTTTGCGATTAATCCCTTGACAAAAGGATCAATCCCTTGTGCCTTAAAAGTTGTAGATAATGACTATGTTGATCCCCAACGGCTAGTAACTCATTCCAAGTTATCAAAACAACCCAAGGTGTAACACCCTCAGACCGATGCGAATAACCCGATCTGATTTGGAGTGTCACATTAGGGCCACCAGAGCGACC